ACCAAGAGTTACCCAGAAATAGGTCAACACCGGTGGGTCTGACCGCTTAGAGGATGGGTCTCCCTCAGGAGATAGTGTGCACAATTCAAGATTCACGTGCTGCATCTACCACAGTTCTGTACACATCAAGGGGACGGCTTTTCAGCGCTGGTGTACAGAGAAGGTTTAGAGACCACTTCATGCCTTTTAGGCGGCGTGTTGTTTTTCTACAACAGCTGATGGATAGGGAGTTGGCTTTCAGTACGCTTTAACGTACGATTGCAGCCATCTCTTCCTGCCACAAAGGGTCTGGAGACAGAACAGCTTTTATCACCCGCTGATGAAGCGGTTTCTAAAAGGTGTACAGAGATGTAGGCCTGTTTCACGCCCACTTGTTCCACAGTGGGTTTAACGCTGGTCCTGCGAGCCCTGATCAAAGCTTCAATTGAGCCTCTGGACCAACCAATATTAAGTTAATCTTACTCAAAAATCCTGTATTGTTTTAATGTGTATCCATTTAGTTCACTGAACTTAACTATATCGCATAAGTTGAACATAGGTTTTGTACATAAAAGTAAAATAACCACATTAAGTTTAAGTAACGCAAGTCTTTCTTCTATAATATACTTAAATCTAATGAGTATATTGTATGGAAACTTGTTAATCAACATCTACTTAAAAACATTATGTGCAACCACTTGACATAACATTTTTAAGTAAATCCAGTATATTTTTTTTTTGAGTGTAGAGAAATTCCATTTTCTGTGAAAATGCAGTGTGAAATGCTTCTTGCTGAAAAACAGCTGAAAACAAACTGAAATGTAGCTGAAATGGAAGAACAAGCCCAAGTTAGCAGAAAAATGCAGAAAGAACACATATTTGCTGAATTATGTTTAAATAAGTAGAAATTAGCACAAAAATTAGGAAATTAGCTAAAAAAGATGAAATTAGCAAAAAAATGTATGAAAAGTAGCTGAAAAGGCAGAAAGAAGCTTAAACTATCAGAAGGAAGTGGAATGAGTTGAAATGAGCTCAAAACTGTGGAATTAGCTAAAATGTTTAAAATTTGGCACAAAACAGCTAAAAAGTAGCTGAAATACAGAAAAGCTGAAACTAGCAAAAAAAGGCAAAAGGACCATAACAAGCTGAAATTAGCAGAAAGAAGTTAATTAGGCTGAAAGTATCAGAATTACCATGAAACACTAGAATTTGTCTGAAAACAACTAATAATTAGCTCAAAGGGTAGCTGAAAAGGTAGAGCAAGCTTAAATTAGCAGAAGAAAGCAGAAAGAACGTTTGTCCAATTAGGCTGAAAGAAGCAAAAATGAGCACAAAAGGCGGAAATAATTTGAAAAGCTGAAATGAGCAACAAACAGCTGAAAAGTAGCTAAAATTGAGTGCAAAAAATTGGAATTAGCTGAAAAGGCTAAAATTAACATAAAATAGCTAAATAGTAGCTGAAATAGCAGGAAAAGTTGAAACTCGCAGAAATAAGCTGAAAGGAGCATAACAAGCTGAAATTAGCAGAAAGATGTTAGAAGAAGCACAAAAATGTTGTAGTTAGATAATCTGAAAGGAGCACAAAACAGCTGAACAAACAGCTGAAATCACCTGAAAGAAGCTGAAAAAAATATTTAAATTTGCAAAAGGACGTTGAAGCAGAGCAAAATGTGAAAGGAGCAGTTAAAGGTTGTAAATAGATCTAAAGATTTTTTTTTTTTTTTTTTTGATGAGTTGCACCAATACCAAACGTCATAGCAGGATTGTCCTGAAAGAGCTGAACGTTTTGATTTATGATTTGTTGAAATAGCTTGAAAACTGCTGGGTGAGAAACCGTGCTGACAAACGTTGGGAAGAAAAATGGATCACAATAGAGTGAACGCTTTATAAACATTCACACTATTAAAAATCAAGTTTTCAAACCTGAACTCTCGTAAACAAACTTGTTGCCAGGCCCGGTGATAAACGACCAAATGTGACCAGACTGCAGATCGTTTTGAAGCTTTCAAGATGGAGGTCCTCCCACTCTGTGACTGGAGTGAGCCCAACTGGAGCGGCAGAGCTCCAGAGACGGCCTGTTCATAAAACTGCCTCATTATCTGAGACTTTCTAGATTTCATCTTTAATCTGCTGACTCTGGTTTGTTGTTACAAATAAAAAACATTTAATGCCGCTGGCTTCATGTAAACAAGAAGTAAATAACAACAACCAGTGTTTGTTTCTGGCTCCGAGGAGAAGAATGGAGTCAAATGAAGGAAATCACAATCTCATAATCTAAAAATAGAATCTCAGACCCGCGGAACGTTCCCTGACGTGTCTGAATAGAGTGGACTCTTGTCAGAACTTCCTGTCAGTGAGAGGCGGCTCGGTCCTGAGGACCAGAGAACCGGGTCTGAGGTTTGAAGTGGACTCTGGTCATGGGAAAAAGTTAATCAACAGAATCAAGTGAAATGTTTGCTCAAGTGTGTGTGTGTGTGTTAGTAAAATATCTTGTGAACTCGGTGGAAGTGATTGTTACACGAACATTTTGGAGCTGACCAAATCCAAAATGGCTACTGAACGTAAATGTTCTTTCTGTCTCCTTCAGGGTTCAAAACAAACAAACTCACACCAAACATTCAGCCGGTTGTCCTCGCTGCTGCAGCTTGAGCTCAAACCTGCAGCCTCCAAATTATGACACCACCGCACCAGCCACCGCACCACCGCACCAGCTGCCTGAACGTTAAAAACAAAACACGACTCTGCCAACTTTACAGATATAAAGGTCAAATTGCATGTGGTAGTAGCTGGGAGTCATCCTAAACACGTACTCTGAAGGCTGAATGTTAACCTGGTAACTTTGTCTGTTAGCAAAATATCTTGTGAAGTACTCCACTGATTTGAATGGAACTCCCAGAAAGTTATTTCTGGATGTGCAGCTACAACTGATTCACTTTTGGAGACTGTCTGACAAAAGATGGCCGCCACAGCCAGTCAGTCTTGAGCAACACCAAACTGGTTGTAGCTCCATCACTTCTATAAACACCGAGCTAGAAATGAAGGTGGTACCTGAGAGTCATCCACACTCTGTACTGTGAGCGCTACTTGCATATGTGACGTCATGTTTGTTGTTATTTTCACATGTAACTAAAATAAAAGTCATTTTTCAATAGCGGGCGACATGCAGTCATTTAAGCAACGTGAGCCTCAAAGAAAGTTGATTTTAGCGCAGCTCAGTAAAATAAAATCAAACTGAATTAAAGTCAGTGCTGCTGTTGGTTTCATGGCTGATGTTGAAGTTTCAGAGTTTCCTCTTGGATCAGTCACAAACTTGTGGTGGTGGCCAGCAGCAGCGCGCGCTCAGCAGCAGCAGCGTGTCAGAGTTACGGTGGTGACGTCAGAGGAGCCGGAGCAGCGGGCAGGGAGCGCACAGCCAGGCGCAGACACGAGCCGCGCCAGGGAGCGCGTTTTGTTTTGATTTTGTTTGCTTGTTTGTTTGTTTGTTTTCCTCCCGGACGAACGGAAGCAGCGGCGGGTGATGAACAACAGGTCTCTGACTCCCAGCCCGCCGCGGCTCGGCGGGAGCGGCGGCGCGGATCACGAGCTCATCATCACGTCCACGTTCGGGACGCTGCTGTCGGTCGTGTACATCATCGGGGTGTCCGGGAACGTGTACACGCTGGTGGTGATGTGTCACTCCATCCGCCTCGCGACCTCCATGTACATCTCCATCATCAACCTGGCGCTGGCGGACCTCCTCTACCTCTCCTCCATCCCCTTCGTGGTGTCCACCTACTTCCTGAAGGACTGGTACTTCGGGGACGTGGGCTGCCGCATCCTGCTCAGCCTGGACTTGCTCACCATGCACGCGAGCATCTTCACGCTCACCGTGATGTGCACGGAGCGCTACCTGGCCGTGACGCAGCCGCTGGACACGGTCAGGCGCTCCAAGAGCTACCGCAAGGCGCTGGCGTGGGGCGTGTGGCTGCTGTCCCTGGTGCTCACCGTGCCCATGATGGTCATGGTGGCGCAGACCACCAAGAAGCTGCCGGACGGGGGCGTGAAGCGGATGTGCGCGCCCACATGGGCGCCCCTGGCTTATAAGGTCTACGTGACGGTCCTGTTCGGGACCAGCATCATGGCCCCGGGGCTCATCATCGGGTACTTGTACGTGCGCCTGGCGCGCACCTACCTGGAGTCTCAGAGGAACTCCGTGATCAGCCGAGACTCCAAGAGGTCCCCCAAACAAAAGGTTCTCATCATGATCTTCACCATCGTGCTGGTGTTCTGGGCCTGCTTCCTGCCCTTCTGGATCTGGCAGCTGCTGCCCCTCTACCACACCAAGCCCCTGAGCCTGGCCTCGCACACGCACACGTGCATCAACTACCTGGTGGCGAGCCTGACGTACAGCAACAGCTGCATCAACCCGTTCCTCTACACGCTGCTCACCAAGAACTACCGGGAGTACCTGAAGAACCGGCACCGGAGCTTCTACAGGTACACGTCCACCTTCAAGCAGCGGCCGCCCAGCCTGCACTCCTGGGGCAAGTCCGCCTCCTCCAGCACCCAGTTCGACTTCAACTCCGAGACCCTGGTCATGGGCGCGCTCAGGTGACGCGCGTGTCTCGTGCGTAAAAGCTCCTGGTGGCAATGGCACGTGTTGATGCGCAGCGTGCGTAAAACGTGCGTACTGGTGGCCAAGTTTGGTCTTGGAGACGGTGCGCTCAGAAAACAAGCTGGGGTGACACAAGAGGGCAGGAATGCGTGTCGCCCGCTGCCTGAGATCACGTGATGTCTGTGCTGTGGATGACTCTGCCACCAAACAGCTCAGGGTCTGTAAGGATTGGCAGGTGGAGCCGGTTCTGTTGGTTAATGCGGATTAGCTGAGGCAGCCATCTTTAATTGCTCTGACTCCAAACGTTCATTGGTTGTTTAATTTTTAAGAGCTATATTAAAATCTGTGCAGCGGTTTATGAGATATTTTGCTAACAGACACACAGAGTTGACTCCAAACACATTGTTTTAAGCTCTTGTGTGATCTGTGGATCAGTTTCAGCTAAAACAGCTCAGCTCAATGTTTGAAAAAGAATCGAGTCATGCATTTGTTTTTTAGCTCTGGCAGCCATCTTGAATCAAGTTGACTCCAACAGTTATTTTACTTTTTGCTAATTTAACTCAAATCAGAAGGATGCTTCTGGGGGACACGTCACCAAAACTTTTAATTTATTATAAATCTCACGTCACATTAATCAATCTCTGCTCTGGCTGTTAGAGACAACAATGAGTTTATTTTTTTAGTTTTAAGAAAAAAAAAATTTTTTTGTTTAACATTTTTTTAAAGTTGACCAGAAAAGCTTCATTAACAAACTTTTCTTTAAAGTTGAACATTGCTTAAGTTTATTATAAAGAAGAAACTCTTAAAACCACAATAACCAGGCCCAAGAGCAAGCAGCAGCCTTGGAGTGGACCTGGACCTGAATCTGGATCTGGATCTGGATCTGGACCTGGACCTGGACCTGTTGGACTGAGAGCTGCTCTGGGAGGTAAACTCTCAGCCTGTCAGTCATCTTTGGCTTGGAGTAAAATGTGCATTTATTGTCGCTTCAAGTCGTTTCCTCTCCGTGGGAAACAGAAAATAATCTATTTTTCTGAGAATCATTTTTCGCTCAGCTCACTCGTTTCTGTTGTAGCTGCGTTTAAATTCTGCATAAATAAAATTCCTTTTCTAGCCCTGTTTGGTTTTCTTTGCAGGACAGTCCTTCACTCAGGACATCTGGTCATCCTAAACACTACAAACACACACGCGCACACACAAGCACACACACACACACACACACACACACACACACACAGAGAGACATCAGCAAATGTCTTGAACATGATGTAAGTTTATGACATCATTTGCATTTTATTGTGAAAAACACACTTTGTTCTGTAAAGGTGTTTATGGAAGTGGTTCCTGTTTAGTTTGTGATCTGTTCTTCTTGTTTTAAAGACATGAATACTCTGAAATATATACAAATTTTAAAAAGTAAAAACTGTAAAAGTGTGCACAGTGAACAGCTGCAGGATTTATGAATTATGTTTATCTGAGGGCACATCAGCCAACAAAGCACCTCCATCCTGAACCTCCTGCTGATCTGCGCTGCATTTCATGACTGTTTTTAAATCTTCCATTACCCCTAAAGAAATAACTTGGCAAGCGGCATGGTGGAGCAGTGGTCAGAGTTGTTGCCTCTCGGCAAAAAGGTCAAAGAATCGCTTCTGGGCCTTTCTGTGTGGCGTGTACATGTGACCAAAAACATGCATGTTAGACTGATTGGTAACTTTAAATTGTTTCTGTGTGTGAGTGAGAGTGAATGGTTGTTTGTCGCGTTTGTCTCTGTGTGTCCCTGTGATGGACTGGAGACCTGTCCAAAGTGTCCCCTGCCTCTCCCACAGTGGTAGCTGAAGATAAACACCAGCTTCTTGTGACCCGTGAAGGAAAAGCAGATAAAATTTAAAAAAGGAATAATTTGGCCAACATTGAAGGGGATTTCTGTGGGAGGAAAAAAGTAAAATAAGTAATATCTTACCTGTTGTAGATATCTTTGAAAATGCCTCAATTTAGTGAAATAGAGTTTGAGACTGACAGGACTGATGAGCTCGTGGCTAGTCTGAGTGCAGATAAGCCCAAAGCAAACTGCTGCCATCTTAAATCTGACATATAGCAGCAGCAGCAGCAAGCTGTAGCACTTTAATGGCATCCACAAGTCAAGTCCAACTGGAGTTTCCTTAAATTTAAGCTAAAATAACAGTTAAACAAAACTGGTGACATGTAAAGGTTTTAAAAATAGTGTTTGCATAAATCGGTCGTTTTCAACAGTCTAGTGTGTCACTGGTCCAAATGAACCCACTTCCAAAGTGGGAGAGCGCCGTCTTAATGGCTACAAACCCTGAAATTTCTAAGTGGTTTATGTTAATGTAATTATTTAAATTTTTGTGCATGGTTAGATTTCACATCACATGGTTATTTCAGCAGAAATTTAATAAAGTTTTTGCCAGATGCTCCTGCGGTCCCATGATTCTCCAGAAATGCTACAGCTCAATGCTGCTACCAGTACACTGTTAAATAATCATAAAATGTCATTTAAATAATTGAAAAAATAATTTGTTTTCATTGAACTTTTTTAAAGCTGGCCTGCAGGATGATTTGGACTCTAAATGACAACATGGAGAGAAGCTCATCAGCAGCTGTGAAGTGCTTCACAACATCTGGATCAGCCTCTTCTCTGCTGCTCTGGGACTCTTTTATATAAGTCATAATTAAAACAACACAAGAAAATACTGACTCGTTTGATTTACCTCATCTAAAACAGGAAAAAAGCCTTTCAGAACAGCTCCACGGTAAAATCTGACATTCAGTTTAAAACATGAACAAATAAACAAAACCACTGAAAGTTGTTGGGTTGAAAGAAACATAATTTGAGAAAGCTGAACTGTGTTGTAGCTGTTTCTGACTAAGAACTGGACCATACTAAGTAAAAGCTGTGATAATATGATATCCACAAGTTGTTAAGAACTTTGTCAGTTCAGAAATTTGCTCCATATTTTAAATCATATGGAGGTGCCCATGGTCTGTTTTAATTATTAAGCGGTTTACAATGTTAATGTTGTGTTCAGTTTTCATTTTATGTTGCAACACAACAAGCCAGGTTGTAGCATGCATTGGGGGCTCGTCCGGGATAGTTAAAATCTATAGACGAGACTGAACCTGATTGAGTGAATCGGGAGTGGTGTTTTGCTGTCTGGGCTCAGTGATCCATCATTACCAGCCTTTGTCAATGCCAATATGGCTGAACTGACATTTGATGTGTGACTGTGAGAGTAGGGACTGAGTGAAGGAGACAAGGTGAACTCAAGGATGGTGGATTCAGTTTGTTTTACCATGGAATAGATTGAAAGAGCAATGTATGGATAATCTGGGGGAATTATGTTGTGAGTGGATTACTCTCTTCAGGTCGAGAGTGAGGTTCTGCCTTAAGTAAAGGAGTTCAAGTATCTTGGGGTCTCGTTCACGAGTGAAGGACGAATGGAGTGTGAGATTGACAGACAAATTGGTGCAGTGTCTGCAGTGTTGTGGACTCTGTGCCGGTCTGTTGTGGTGAAGAGGGAGCTGTAATGCAAAGCTCTCCGTTTACTGGTCAGTCTACATTCCTACACTCACCTATGGCCATGAACTCTGGGTAGTGACCAAAATAATGAGATTGTGGATACAGGTGGTTGAAATGAGTTTTCTCTGCAGAGTAGCTGGACTCTTCCTTAGATATAGGGTGAGAAGTTCAGTTATCCAGGAGAAATCCAGAATATGCTTAGTGTGAGGAAAGTGCTGCTCCTCTACATAGAAAGGAGCCAGTTGAGGTGGTTTGGGCATCTGGTAAGGATGCTCCCTGGGTGCCTCCCTGGGGAGGTGGTTTGGACATGCCCGACTGGGAGGAGACCCAGGACATGTTGGAGAAACTATGTCTCTCAGGTGGCCTGGGAACACCTTGGGGTCCTCCCAGAAGATCTGGAAGAGGTGGCTGTGGATAGAGATATCCGGTCCTCCCTGCTCAAGCTGCTGCCCCCATGACACAACTTCAGAACAAGTGGTAGATAATGTACGTATGTATGTACGTATGTATGTATGTATGTATGTATGTATGTATGTATGTATGTATGTA